GGCAAGTTGTGGCATTTTGGTGATGGAACCAGCTATACTACCCAAGTGGATTATTTTATTTTTAATGAGAATTGCAATTTTGGAATACACATGGGAGCTGATCAGAAATCTGCCAACAGCCTACCAGCTAACATGCTGTTTTTGTTAAAAAGAGTTTACATAAGATCTGGTTTGCTCCATTTCCAACACTATAGGCTTCTGCATTTCAGAATAATCTGCCAGATGTCACAAAAGTTAGTGAATGCCTCAGTGCAAGATAAATATTGTCTCCCTTTATGGGTTGAAGTAGTGCACTACTGCTAATGCATATTTCCATTTTATTTTATAGATCACAGCGACTCAAATTCAGGTTGAACCTGTATGAATTAAAAGAAGGCAGACAGATCAAACCAAAAACGTTTATGAGCATGGTCTCAAACCTCCTCTATGAGCGACGGTAGGTTAAATATTCCAAATTCTTTTGAAGTGGTTGATGTTGTACACCATTAGAACATAGAACATAGAACATTACAGCGCAGTACAGGCCTTTCGGCCCTCGATGTTGCGCAGACCTGTGAAACCAATCTGAAGCCTATCTAACCTACACTATTCCATTATCATCCATATGTTTATCCAATGACCATTTAAATGCCCTTAAAGTGGGCGAGTCTACTACTTTTGCAGGCAGGGCATTCCACGCTCTTACTACTCTCTGAGTAAAGAACCTACCTCTGACATCTGTCCTATATCTATCACCCTTCAACTTAAAGCTATCTCCCCTCGTGCTAGCCATCACCATCGGAGGAAAAAGGCCCCCACTGTCCACCCTATCTAATCCTCTGATCATCTTGTATGTCTCTATTAAGTCACCTCTTAACCTTCTTCTCGCTAACGAAAACAGCCTCAAGTCCCTCAACCTTTCCTCATAAGACCGTCCCTCCATACCAGGCAACATCCTGGTAAATCTCTTCTGCACCCTTTCCAATGCTTCCACATCCTTCCTATAATGCGGTGACCAGAACTGTACGCAATACTCCAAGTGCGGCCGCACCAGAGTTTTGTACAGCTGCAACATGACCTCATGGCTCCGAAACTCAATCCCTCTACCAATAAAACCTAACACACCGTATGCCTTCTTAACAACGCTATCAACCTGGGTGGCAACTTTCAGTGATCTATGTGCATGGACACCGAGATCTCTCTGCTCATCCACACTACCAAGAATCTTACCATTAGCCCAGTACTCTGTATTCCTGTTACTCCTTCCAAAGTGAATCACCTCACACTTTTTCGCATTAAACTCCATTTGCCACCTCTCAGCCCAGCTCTGCAGCTTATCTATGTCCCTCTGTAACCTGCAACATCCTTCCGCACTATCCACAACTCCACCGACTTTGGTGTCATCCCCAAATTTACTAACCCATCCTTCTACGCCCTCATCCAGGTCATTTATAAAAATGACAAACAGCAGTGGCCCCAAAACAGATCCTTGAGGTACACCACTAGTAACTGAACTCCAGGATGAACATTTCCCATCAACCACCACCCTCTGTCTTCTTACAGCTAGCCAATTTCTGATCCAAACCGCTAAATCACCCTCAATCCCATGCCTCCGTATTTTCTGCAATAGCCTACCATGGGGAACCTTATCAAACACTTTACTGAAATCCATATACACCACATCAACCGCTTTACCCTCATCCACCTGTTTGGTCACCTTCTCAAAGAACTCAATAAGGTTTGTGAGGCACAACCTACCCTTCACAAAACCGTGTTGACTATCCCTAATCAAATTATTCCTTTCTAAATGATTATAAATCCTATCTCTTATAATCTTTTCCAACACTTTACCCACAACCGAAGTAAGGCTCACTGGTCTATAATTACCAGGGTTGTCTCTACTCCCCTTCTTGAACAAGGGGACAACAGTTGCTCGTCTCCAGTCTTCTGGCACTATTCCTGTAGACGATGACGACATAAAGATCAAAGCCAAAGGCTCTGCAATCTCCTCTCTAGCTTCCCAGAGAATCCTAGGATAAATCCCATCCGGCCCAGGGGACTTATCTATTTTCACACCTTCCAGAATTGCTAACACCTCCTCCTTCTGAGCCTCTTTGTACCTCCTTGTATTGTATGATTCTCAAATTTAAGTTTGCGTTACTAACACACACCAAACATAATGTTCCATAAACATTTATCAACCTGTAAGGGGAGATGATGGCCTAGTGGTATCAATGGTAGACTGTTAATCCAGAGACCCAGGTAATGTTCTGGGGACCCAGGTTCAAATCCTGCCATAGCAGATGGTGGAATTTGAAATAATAATAATATGACCATCGAACCATTATCGATTGTCGATTGTCAGGAAAAAACCATCTGGTTCACTAATGTTCTTTAGGGAAGGAAAATCTGCCATCCTTACCTGATCTGGCCTACACATGACCCCAGACCTAGCAATGTGGTTGATTTTAACTGCCCTCTGGCAATAAATGCTGGCCTAGCCAGTGACACCCACATCCCATGAATGAATAATAAAAAAAGGGCCTACAGTTTTTACACTCTAAATAGCTTATGTAAACTGTACAGAGTCCTTATTGATTTTTGAGAGATCTTCAAAATCTAACTCCCAGTAACAGATAAGAACCTGTTGTGGCTTGTAAATGGTGCAATTTACCAGCGTGGTCCTGCTGAGGGTGCAGTCGAGCTATATTGCTGTGGATCTGCCATTGGGCCCTGCAATAGTCTGTCTGAACCAGGGCATCAAAACTGTAAGTTAATGTTCAGTGTTGTATGCTGACCCTCAATTGCCTTATTCAATTTGATGAAGCCTGGGTCTCAGTGTCTCTTTTATAAGAAATGACTTTTATGTGATGTGGATTTGTTGTCTTCTTATTACTTTCATCTTTCACAGATTTGGTCCATACTATGTTGAACCAGTGATTGCAGGTCTTGATCCAAAAACCTACCAACCATTTATTTGTTCGCTTGACTTAATTGGCTGCCCAATGGAGACCGAAGACTTTGTGGTCAGTGGAACATGCTCGGAACAAATGTATGGGATGTGTGAATCCCTTTGGGAACCAGACATGGTGAGTACTGCTTGCTTCTTTGCCCTAAGGCTTTCACACTTCGACCTGTTAATTACCTGGGGTGAATGCAAGGAATGCTTGTTGTATTTTTTGTGTGAATATACTTTCTATTTTCTTTGATCCCAACATGACTTGTGCCTGGCGATGTTATCAATTTTTTTGTGAAGAGTATGGATCCGATTCTAAAATAACACTGGCATTGTATGATTTTTCAATTGCAGCCATGTGGTTGCCTCTGTGTATTGTCATTATTGCGACATTTCAGGAAGGATTCATTGAAAACAAGCCTCCAGGCTTTAATGGCACACCTTCCAATAAAGGGTGTCTTTAACTTCACACCAAAATGATTGTCAAAGGGCTGAACTGGCACAGAATTTCTCTTGCAGTAAGATTCTTTTAACTTTCCAGTAGACCTAGTAACTTGGCCAGTAAGGAAAGTCTGTGGAAGAAAATAGAAGCCTTTGTAATATGGATGTTAAAATTTCAACATACAGATTATAAGACGAATGATCCTATTGAATGGCAGACCAGTTTTGAGAGGCCAAACTTACTGCTGTTCCTACTTATGGTCTTATTGAAACTGCCAGGTCAAAAGGAACACTTTAAAAATAACATCCAGAAAAATAACTAGTATTTTGTTGTTTTGATGTGGTATGTGCTGATACTTCTTTGTTCCCTAGCCCAATGCTCTCTGCTGTTGAAGGCAATGATTTACGCTGAGAAACTTCCACTGATACTGTTACCTTTCCAGTACTTCATCTAACTTGCCATTTTTCTTGTGAAGCTATATATTGTTGAGAAAACATTCACTTGTCCTGAGCTTGAACCAGTTCCGTACAACTTTTACACATCTGTAAGGCCACTGGGTTAAAAACCAAATTTGAAACCTTAGTTGATTTCTTGATGCCACATACACACAAACCCAAGACAGGAACATTGAGGCAATATTACTGTTTCTAATCGTCTGTACTTCAGCTAAATCCACACAGACCTGGCATTGAGCTTGAAACTTTTGTGAATGGTGTGGCTCAGTGACCCATCCGATGGGGTCCGTTACCAACTGAACCAGTAGATAGATATGGAGTTTTTATATCTATCACAAGACTAACTAGTTCAGTATTTTATTAAAAGGGGGTCTGCCATGCTACAGGCGTGAAGTATGCATACAGTTTCACTATACTGCTGAGAAATCTTGGATGGCTTCAGCTGTTCAACAGGTCCCAAATGCTGTTTCAGTGCACAAATTACCATTACTCTGGACTTCTATTCTGGGTAACATGAAGCTTCAAAGGGCATGAGTTGGCCTTTCAAGGGGCACTTTACTGCACAACTGGGTCCCTACCCCTTCAAAGCAAATCAAATAGACCCATTCAGGAAAGAAATAATTTGTAATGGTACAACAATTGTGTCCAAGCTAACATACCAAATGAATGTTTCCATTTCAGGAACCAGAAGATCTGTTTGAAACCATTTCTCAGGCTATGCTGAATGCTGTGGACAGAGATGCTGTATCTGGTATGGGTGTCATCGTGCACATCATGTAAGTGTGGAACACTGTTGTGCAGTTAGTTTCAGCTTGACTGAAAGTTAAGCTTCAATTTAACAATCATAATAAAAGCAGGTTAATGACTGCTTAATAATGGCAGAAGGAAGTTTCCATGTGTGTTAAACATTGTGCTATCAAAAGTATTTACACCGCTGGGTTGCTAGACGGTGCTGCATGAACAAAATCAATCCATTTGATTTGCCGGCTGATACAGTCCATGGGGAGGAAGGTTATGATACATATCCATGTATGTGACTTAATCAAGTGTAAGTTTGAGTTAGAGCCCCAGTGAGATAGATGTGAGTCCAAAAGTCCCTTCTGCAGGAGTTGAGAGGATAGGGGTAGTCTGAATTAATTTTGTGACGATGAAGAATGTGTTAACAAGAAAGCTCCCAAGATGCTACATACTATCCACTTTCCAGTAGACCCAGTAACTTGGCCAGTAAGGAAAGTCTGTGGAAGAAAATAGAAGCCTTTGTAATATGGATGTTAAAATTTCAACATACAGATTATAAGACAAATGATCCTATTGAATGGCAGACCAGTTTTGAGAGGCCAAACTTACTCCTGTTCCTACTTATGTTCTTATTGAAACTGCCAGGTCAAAAGGAACACTTTAAAAATAACATCCAGAAAAATAACTAGTATTTTGTTGTTTTGATCAGAGTTGAAAAGCTACAGCATTCTCTAAAGGGCAAAGTGAAGGACAGCACGTAGAAGGGCCAGGCCAGATATTGTTGACTGATGGATATATTGGAGTGGTTGAAGAGGACTTACAGTAGATATGTGAGGATTACACAGGACAGAAGACTGTGCTATAACAGCAGATTTCCTAGCAGGAGCAGATACAAACAGTAACAGAAGTTTATTACATGTACAGTACTTAATTATTGCATGAGGTTCACTAAACTGACTCCGAGGATGAGGCAACTCTCCTGGGAGGGAAGATTGAGTAGATTAGACCTGTATTCTGTAGAGATTAGAAAACAGATAATCTTATCAAAACATAACCTTCTTGACAGTGCTATGAGGATGTTTCCCTTGCATGGGGACTCTTAGCATTAAGGATCAAAGTCTCAGAATAAGGTGTTGATCATTCAGAATTGAGATGAGAAGGAATTTCTTCATCCAGAGGGTGAAGTTTTCCTGGCTTTGCAGTGGTTGGTATGGAGATGTTGGGGTGGTCCAGAAGTACTGGAAGTGGGGAACTACATCATGATGATTCCTGACATGTCCCTGTTACTAGAAAAGCTTTCTAAGAGTGGACAACTGTTCCGCTGTGTTGACAGGAGCAGCCATTTACAGGCGGGGAACCCTTTATTCGCATATCTGAAAACCGAAGAGACCTAAAAATTAAAAGGTCTTTTGAAAGCAGGCCTGAACACTTGTTGTAGATCTGCATCTGAAAACCAAAAATATCCTTTATCTGAAAACCAGTTGGCCCCGATATTTATGGATAAAGGATTCCTGACTTGTAAAACAGTTAAGGCCCCAATTGGGTCAGTTTTCAGCAAATGCTAGGAAAGTGGCCACTTGCCATGTGTGGTAGCTAGCTCAGCAGAGCAGGCTAAAGGAGTGTCAGAGCTAGATTCCAGGAAAAGCTATGCGCACAACCTGAGTGATTGCTCCACTTTTCGTTCCAATGGCCTACTGCTTTCATGCCTTAGAAATTTTGATTGGACCTGATCCATACCTCTGAGGGTATGGCTATGTTCTGGCAGCCACATCATGGACCCCAGAACATAAATGCTTGCACTCTCCATGGCAATGCCTTTACCAAGCAGAGGCCACTTGCCAGTCAGTGTTCTTCTCTCACACCACAGCATGGTTTCATCATGAACTGGTATTCTTGTGTATTGTCCTCCCAAGTATAAAATGAAAAGCTTTGATAAAATACCTTTTTGTCAACACTACCAAAGTAAATAGTTCAGGGAGCAGTCAACCTGTTTAAGAAGTGAGGGAGGAAAGACAGGAAATTATAGGGTGGTTAGCCTGACCTCGGTCGTTGGTAAGATTTTAGAATCCATTATTATAGATGAGATTGCGGAGTACTTAGCAGTGCATGGTAAAATAGGGCTGAGGCATCACAGCTTCGTTAAGGGGAGGTCATGCCTGACAAGTCTGTTAGAATTCTTTGAGGAGGTAATCAGCAAGTTGGACAAAGGAGAGCCAGCGGCTGTAATCTATTTGTATTTCCAGGAGGCTGCTAAATAAGATAAGAGCTCACACCGTTCGGTGCAAGTTGCTGGCATGGATAGAGGATTGGCTGACTTGCAGAAGGCAGAGTAGAGATAAAGGGGTCTTTTTCAGGAGTTCTGCAGGTGTGAGTGTTGGGACCACAACTGCTCACATTATACATTAACGATCTGGAAGGAGGAACGGAGGCAGATAGCACAAAAGTAGGTGGAGGGACAGGTAGCGTTGAGGAAGCAGGGAGGCTGCAGAAGGACTTGAACAGGCTAAGAGAGTGGCAAAGAAGGGGCAGATGGAATACAATGTAGGAAAGTGTGAGGTTAGGCACTTTGGTTGTAAGAATGCAGGAGTAGACTTTTCTAAATGGGGAAAGGCTTCAGAAATCTGAAGCACAAAGGGACATGGGAATCCTAGTTCAGGATTCTCTTAAGGTTAATTTGGCGATTAGGAAGGCAAATACAGTGTCAGCATTCAAGAGGGTTATACTAAGAGTAGGGATGTATTGCTGAATGTCTGGATATTTGGAATATTGTGAGCAGTTTTGGGCTGCATTTCTAAGGAAGGATACGCCGGTGTTGGAGGGGCCCATTGGAGGATAACAAGGATGATCCTGAAGATGAATGGCTTGTCATATGTGGAATGCTTGAGGACTGTGGGTCTATACTGGGTTGAGTTTAGGAAGATGAGGTGGGGCCTGATCAAAAATTACACAATACTGACAGCCTTGGATAGAGTGGATGTGGAGAAAGTGCTCTCAGTAGTAGGACAGACTAGGAACTGAGGGCACAGCCTCAGACTGAAGGGATGATACTTTAGAACTGAGATGAGGAAGAATTTCATTAGCCAGAGCATGATGAATCTGTGGAACTCATTGCTGCAGAGGGCTGTGGAGGCCAAGTCAGTGTATTTAAGACAGAGATAGGTCCTTCATTAGTTAGGGATCAGAGGTTACAGGGAGAAGGCAGGAAAATGGGGTCAAAAATCACTTCGAACATGATTGAATGGTAGAGCAGAGTCAGTGGGCTGAATGGTCTAATTCTGCTCTTATTGGACAGTCCCTGTTCAGTTCATAATTGTTCAGGAACATTTCATTCAGTCAAGAGAGAGCGAGCAGCAAGTTATACAGCACAGAAACAGACCTTCGGTCCAATTCGTCCATGCCGACCAGATATCCTACTGATCTAGCCCCATTTGCCAACATTTGGTTCACATCTGTCTAAACCCTTCCTATTCATGTACCCATGCAGATGCCTTTTAAATGTTGTAATTGTACCCACCACCTCTGGCAGCTCATTTCATATATACATCACCCTCGGTGTGAAAAGGTTGCCCCTCAGGTCTCTATCAAATCTTTTCCCTCTCACCTTATGTCCTCTGATTTAGGACTCCCCTACCCTGGGATAACAACTTTGGCTATTCACCTTAGCCATGTCCCTCATGATTTTATAGACCTCTAAAGGGTCACCCCTCAGCCTCTCCCTGTATCTCAAACCCTTCAATCCTGGTAACATCCTTGTAAATCTTTTCTGAACCCTTTCAAGTTTGATAACATCTTTCCTATAGCATCATTTTCTTTGACCTGTCCCAGTTTCAGATTGAATTTGCTGTAATCTGGCAAACTACTTCAACAGCAACCTGTCACCCTCCTGCAAACATGGGTGTATATAGAATATTTTGTTTCCATCAGCATGATACAGAAGTAGGCTATATGGCCCATTGTGCCTGTCCCCGCTCTCTGAACAGCTCCACAAGTGGTGTTGAGCACTAAGTTTAACTACAGTATCTCCACATCCCTTTCCAAATATACCCAGTTCCCTTTCGAATGTTAAAAATCTGCTTCTACCATTCCTTTTGTTTGCCAGATCATGGCAACTAACTAACTGTCTCTAACATAATCCCACTGGATCTTTTCCCACCTAGATTATCCTCTCGCTGCCTGCCAGCCATCCACCTTGTTATATTCTATTATTTTACCTTTGTTTTCTTTGTTGCAGTGAAAAAGACAAGATTACCACCAGAACATTAAAAGCTCGTATGGATTAAAAGCAAAACTTCTGTAACCAACTTTGCAATACAATGTTTTTGTTTAATTGTAGTTTCTCTTCTGACACACCTGAAATAGCAGGAGATTGTCAGTCAATCTAAGAATTTTAATGGAATAACTTTTCATATTCTGTTCGGCAGTCATTGAGTATTCTGTTTATATGATGTGTGTAATTCAAAAATAAACTAGTTATATAACACAGAACATCTTAAGTACAGATTTGTTTAATACTCCTCTTACCTACTGAGCGTGGTATGCCATAAAAGTATGTTGATTTTTATTTACAAAACAATCTTTCTTTGGGGTCAGGGAAAAAGAATTCAAAACAAGCAGCCACCCACAATTTTAATGGATCCATAATAACCCATTGTTGCTATTTAGATACATGAATATGTAACTTATAATCTTAGAACCTTCCAAAGTACTTTAAAGCCAATCTAGTACTTTCTAAAAGTTCTAGTTCCCTGTTTTAATGTAGGAAATACAATGAGAAATTTGTGCACATCAAACCTGCACAAATAACAAGCAATAAGATGATCTGTTTTGAGGAATAAACAGGGACCAAGATGTTAGAGAATTTCTGTACTCCTCTTCAAAAACAAATGCCACAAGACTTTTTCATCCATGAGGGATAAACTTGGTCTAATGCTCCACCCACTTCTGCATGATTTGAATGGAGATATTAGCCGAAAAGTCCGTGACCTTTGAACGTAGGCTAGAGAGAGAAGCAATGGCAGAGGGGGTATGAAAGAAAAATCCAGGGACAGTTGCAGGGTAATGGAATCTGCTAAAAACTAAAACATCTCTCAGAATCTCTCTGTATTTGGATCTGATCCAGTTGTACTCAGCTTAGTGACAACTAGTGGGAGAGTTAACCATCATCCGATTGGACCAGTGCAGTTTTACAAAAACATGTTTTTTATTTGTAAGCTTTGGTATTACTGCAGTGAGTTTAAACACTGTGTCACCATGACTCCCAAACACAGTGTTACAAATTATTACAGTTAAACTCCTGATAAATGAATAACTGGTCAAACCAAAATCTTTGCATTAACGCTGATAATTTCCACTGTGGAACAGACAGATGTCTACAAGTTTGAATGTGTGTGTTGCAACCCAAAGATAAACTGGGTTCGGCCTAATACGCTGACACTTACTGAGATGTACCACCTGTGGAATTTGGTTAGTTCCTACTGCTTTCAGTCATATGTCACATGATCTTGGATTTCCTTGATGAGGATATGTTGATTTTTTTTTGGTTTAGACATCTGAAACAAGGAGTGAAATAAGAAACCTGGTGGAAGAACAAAATGATATCTCCACTGGGATGACACTGTCAGATTTATTAAAACCAACAGGAAATGGGAAAAAAATGAATGTTGGAGGTCCTGACTTGTCAAATACAAAGTTCTGGTCCTATAAGACAATAGCACTGTTTGAATGTGGGTGGATATTTTACCTAATGTGGTAAGGAGACATACAGAACTGGACAGTCCTGAATTAGCCAGCTTCAACATTGACAGTAATGGAAACAAAAGTAAACTTGTTCTCCTTACCATTGGGAGGAATTAAAAACCTTTAAATAGGTGGCTACTACAAGACAGTGCCTATGGTACCATGGCATTCATGGCCAAATTACCTACTCTTAGTCACCATCTGGTCTCGCATGTGGAAAATGGTCTATTTGGGTGAGGTATGGGAGGGGAGCTGCTATTTATTATAGAATCCCTACAGTGTGGAAACAGGCCCTTCCGCCCAACAAGTCCACACTGACCCTCAAAGCATCCCATCCAGACCTATCCTGCATAACCCACCTAATCTACACATCCCTGAACTCAGGCATGGTCTTCAGTGGGCATTCATAGTGACTGAAGCAAGAACAACTTCTTGATTTCAAGAAATTTTAAAATCCATTAAAAAATTATGTTCTTTCTGCTGTTAACTTTTGAAAGTTGGCCTGTCCTCACATCACCAGTGACATGTACGAATACCATGAGAACATCCTCCAAATCTTGTAAAATATAACCCCATGGAAATTAACAGACAGCAATGGACTGAACTGAGCAGCTGTTCAACTGAAATATTTTATGTAGGGTCCAGATTATATACATGAGTTATGCCTGCATCAGGAACTATCCACATGTGAAACAGAAATCATTTGGCACTCTGAAAATCAAAGCTTGGATCAGATGTGCACTTACCCTGATGCAAGTAAATTTGGACAGTAATTTTAATGTTCCTTTACTTCATCCTTTACAGTTTTGAATTAGCTACAGCTGCACTAGAATTTTTATAACATACAGTGCACTAAATTGTACATTTTGTTCCAGCAACAAAGGACGTCAGGTGTGTGTTCAAATAATGAAGTGTTTACACCTCTAACACTCTGTCTACTGTTCTCAATTACAAACTTGACTGATCACTTAGTAAAATGGCCACTGTCCTTTTAGTACAGAAGATTTATGTATTAAAAACAATCCATAGAAAATAATAGGTTAATGAGGATTCAAACATTAATTTGTAGTCTCTTTGCTGATCTGAGGCATGTACATATCTATTAGTGATCACTTAGTCACTGCCAAATGCAGATTAATCTCACCTGCAGTATCCCTCCTTTAATGTGTTAAGCTATACATAACAGCAATACACAAAATTGTTATTTAAAGGGTTAAAGTGCCAATCAATTCCTTCTAATGGTTCTTGCAAGCAACAATTAAATGGTTCAAATTTGATGCTTGCCTACTTTAATCATATGTTTTCATATACCCAGAATGTTCTTTTAAAACAGCACAATATTGCTACAGCATTTTCGTAATATTTCAGGCTTGTTAAGGATTCAAAAATTGACAATCGGGTAGTTTTACAAAAGCACTACCAAGTAACATTATTGTCACAGCTACCTCTTTGTAACAAGATTCAACAGCAAATAGCAATACTTTGTTGAGAGAAGTTGTCTTTTAAAAAGTCCCTTACAAAGGAGTTAGCTATTTTAAAAAAAATCACTTTTTTACTCATGTCTATTGACCTAGCAGACAAAATGCCACATTGTCCAAATAATTAGCTTAAAGCACAATTACAGACTGTACTCTTTTATAAAGCCAAGTAGCTCACATCGAAGTAAACGCGAGCCCTCCTGCTGAGTAACAAATAAAAGTAAACTTTTAGAAAACATTAGGAATGCCGCAAAGCCAAATGATTTACCCAAATCACATCTGATGGATTGATGGCTGTTCCACACACTGCATAATCAGATGCAGACTCGATCTGGATATGTGGCATCCTATTGTAAATTTTCACTTGAGTAAACATTGCCCCCTCCCTCCCTCCCTTACCCGCCCACCCTTAACGAACAATAGCTTATATATAGTTGCGTTGATTTATTGATAAAGTTGCTGAAGTCCTTTTTTTTGCGATTAGACAATATGGCAACTTAAAACATTTGAGAAACAGCATGGCAAAGGCCTGGCAACGACGAAACCAGGGTTGGGACGAGTGCAGCATCACAAAGATACACGCAAATAATACCGTGCCTTTGCTCCATTAGGACAATATATGAACTGTTTTTAAAAAAAAAAGTGATTCTTGCCATTGTTAAAGTGCCCATCGTCCTTCACTGCGTTCAAGTGCCCACCTTCTGGTTTTAAGATTTATACAATATGTCTCACCATGGCTAATGGAGTGCCACTGAAGCTGCCGCCAGTAAAGACACACTCATAATACATGGCAGGGAAAACTTCAAGAGCAATGCAACATTTCAGGCAATGCAGGTTTGCCAGCAAGTATCTTTTTTTGTTGTGTTTTTGTTTTATTTCCAAAGGATGCAATTTTGGAGATTAGTCTCTGCACATTGAATACTGCACGCACCACTACAGTGTCCTCAGTTTTCATGTTCCTGCATTCGCTACACATTGGTAGTCTCTTTGTGCGTGTCATGTGTTGTCTACAGGGGCACTATGTTATGATGTTAGACATAAATTCCAAGAAACGCTTTGAGTACTGTTCGGGGTTAACGGTGGAGATCTCAGCACCAGCCTGCAACACATAAGGAAACAAGGCATTAATCTAAACGATATCTGTGCTCAAGAAACTATGAATCCTTAACCAGCAAAGAGAAGAAATTGAAAAGTAAAATGGTTACAGCTTCCTTTTCATGAAACCATAACTAGTAGAAACAGAAATGTTAAGCAGGTTTGATCATTTATTCACCATGTCCCCAAAGATATTGGTCCACAACTGCTTCCCCCCATCCAACTCGCACCACATTATCTAACGTCCAAGCTGCACCCTGAAAGGAAATTGACTCATGCTGTGTACAGTTTGTCGGAATTCTTCAGTATTCTTCAAGTGAGGTTAGACAATGTGTACCAAACATGCTAATCAAATGCGTACAGAATAACAAAATTAGCCTGATCTGATCCACACCTGACATTGCTGTACAAATTTATGCAATCCTTCCTCATTTCCGCAGTTATTGAAAAAGAGAAAGGTTTTCTTGAAGTTTCTCATCCAAAAATAGGGAGAGAAAAATATTCGCTTAGTGGCTGACTCAGTTGTGCCATTAGCTTTGGTTCATTCTATCAATCTAGATACTGTTAATCTTGAATGTTTATAATAATAGAATAGAATCATAGAAGGTTTTCATTACAGAAAGAAGTCACCTGGTCCATCATGTCGGTGTTGGCTGAAAAGTGAGACGTCCAGCCTAATCCCACTTAAAAGCATTTCACCTATAGCCCAGGTTGTTTCATTTGAGATGCATGTTAGGCAGCAAATGGAACACTGTTGTTCATTGGAAAGGGAATGGAATACAAAAGTAGGTAAGTTTTACTGCAACTATACAGGTCCTTGGTGAGACTATATCTGAAGCACTGTGTTCAGTTTTGGTCTCCTTACTTGAGAAAGGAAGTAATTGCATTAGAAGTAGTTGCGAAAATAGATCAGACTCCCTCAACAGTCACTTCATAATGTAATGCACTAAATTAGGAACAAATTGCTGATCTGACCTGAAATGTGCTGTTAAAATTAGCAATTGTGTACTTTTGCTCCTTTTGTGTAAAATAACAGTACATTTATCAACCCTTTTGTCTAATCAAATAAATAATTTGGCTGGCAGTTTCCAACTACAGTAATTTGAAATGTTTGTTATTCTGTGGAACTTAAAACATTAGAAGAAAAATATGCATTACAAAATCATGATGAAACAAAGACGGGGTTGGGCTGCTCTAATGGGCAGTTACAGAATTATACATATTAAAATGAATTGTTTTATTGTTGTTTCCTCTCCTGACAGCATTGATGGTAAGACTCCCCAAATATGGTCATTCCTGATGCACAAGCTGAGTATGCATCAACCAATCACTCTCTCCACAATCAGTGCAACTTGGCTGCACAGTCTACCATTCATATGACACACTGTATCAAGTCACCAAGTGTTATTAGACAGTAGTTCCCAAACTCACAACACCTAGAAGAACATGGGCAGCAGGTTAATAGGAACACCATCACCTCCAGGATCCACAATGGAATTCATATTATTGGGTCAAAGTCCTGGAACTCCCCACCAAACATATGCTTATATCCATGTCTAAACAACACAGTTTGTGATGCAACACAGTGTGGAGCTGGAGGAATACAGCAGGCCAGGCAGTATCAGAGAAGCAGGAAAGCTGATGTCTCAGGTCAGGACCCTTCTTCAGAAATCTGGGTTCAGGTTCAGGTTTTCTGAAGAAGGGTCCCGACCCGAAACGTCAGCTTTCCTGCTCCTCTGATGCTGCCTGGCCTGCTGTGTTCCTCCAGTTCCACAGTGTGTTATCCCTTCCCAATCTCGCCTTCGTTCACTTGACCCAAGGACACAACCGGGTGCTTCAACATAGGGACATGGAAGTACATGAACTACCCTAAGTCCCAAAGTTATTTTCTCTTAAATTACATGCATTTCCCTCTACCCTCCTCCCAAAAGAAAATTAAGTCACATTCTCCTTAGCCTTTGGGAAGCTAATGGAAGCAGCAACAAATCCATTGCAAAATTGAACCAAGTTCCCAGCAGCTTTGTCCGAACATGAATCTAGTGTTCCATCTCAGTGTTCTACCAATTGTCCATTGCAGTGTCCCCAGCTGCGGCCAGGAGCTACAGCTCAACCCATCCCTGGTTAGACTCTCCTCTGTCTCTGAAGAAGGGTCCCGACCCGAAGCGTCAGCTTTCCTGCTCCTCTGATGCTGCCTGTGTTCCTCCAGCTCCACACTGTTATCTCAGACTCCAGCATCGGCAGTTCTTACTGTCTCACAGTTTGTGATGTAATGGCTCTACAGAGACTGCAACACTTCTACTAAGTGGTTAACCACCACCTCTTAAACACTATTAGGTGTGGGCAATAAACGCTGTCTTGTTAGCAACATCCATATTCACAGAATGAATAAAATGTAGTGAAGTTTATCAAATTATATGATCAGCTTGGGCAAATGTCACTAATAAACCCAATGATGACTTTAGGAGGAATGTCATTTTTTAGAGTGAGACAGAGCTGTTGGTTGTGGCAGAGATGCATTTAAGGCAAAATTAGATAACTCCACGTGGGAGAATGGAAAAGAAGGACATGTTAATAGGATGGGATTAAGTACTTTGAAAGGAGGCCTGTGTGGAGCACAATGCCTGAACAGATCAGATGGACCAAATGGCCTGTTCCTGTGCTGCAATTTTTATGCAATTTTATGTAACTGTGGCTGACCTGTTCCCACCCACTATACAATGAGAAGGAAGTAGTACATTCAGGATTTTCCTTCATAGAATCCTTACACTGTGGTGTAGAATCCCTGCAGTGAAGAGTATCCCATCCAGACTCACCCCTCTACTGTATCTCTGAACGCCACATCTCCCATAGCTAATCCACCTAGCCTGCACATCCATGGACACTATAGGCAATTTGGCATGGCCAATGGGCCTAACCTGCACATATTTGGACTGTGGGAAGAAACCACACATTGAAGGAGAACTAAACCGTTTTAGAAGATGGGTTTTCTGGATATGAATAATTTATCCAATTATTGTCCATATAAAATTGGTCCTTCTTTATGATGACATATCAGACTGTAGGTTTAAAGTCACATTGAGGCAATCGCATCAGTTGGAGAAATTTAGCTACAACTTTCCCCTTAGTAGAGGGGTCAATCACTGGGGCACACATAGGGGTAGGAGCTTTAGAGGGATTGGAGGAGAATTTTTTCACCCTTAGGGTTGTGGTTATCTTGAACTCACTGTCGATTACAACATTTAAAAGGCATCTAGGTGCGTATAAGAAAAGGATGGGATTAGAGGGATTTGGGCTAAATGCTGGCAAATCAGACTAGATTCATTGAGGATATCTATTCAGCATGGACGAGTTGGACCGAAGAGTCTGTTAAAGTGCTGTACGTCTCTATGGCTAAAAGGGTGGAGGAGGCAGGAACGCTGAAGACAGTTAAGAATTATTTGGACATGCACCAGAAATATCTCAGCATAGAAGGCTACAGGCCAAGTGCTGGAAAATGGGATTAGAATAGATGGATATTTCATAACCGGCACTGACGCATTGGGCTGAAAGGTTTCTACCCATGCTGCAAAAAGCCTTATGACTAATACCAGGGATAAGTGCCACATTCCCATCCCCACATTTGCAATTGCATTGGTTGAGGATAAACACAACCAAGAAGAAAAACATTAACTTTCAGCTGAGGGCAACAAATTTTTAATGTTCGCAGCCACCTCCTACCCAATGTTCAAGGCAGTTAAGCTCTTGATTTTGAATGGTTTCCCTCACTATAGAACAATACTGCACTGAGTATGAGACAATTTTAAAATGAAAACAGAAAATGCTGGGAACAAGCAATAGACCTGTCAACCTGATGAGGGTCTTTGTTTTCAGAAGTTGATATATCTGCTGGCATTTTCATAATTTCCTGCATTATTTAAGGTTTCCAGTATTGTCTTGATGTGTTCGAAGGCTAGCAAGGGGAAAGCTTATTCTTCCAGCTTGGGCTCACTGGCAGAATCAAACACACCCCAATCTTGTATAGGTAAACGTATTTATTGAGCTTTATATACACATCAGCTCAAAGGCCCCTTGTGGCACAGTGATAGTGCCCCTACCTCCAGGCCAGGAGATCTGGGTTCAAGTCACACCTACTTTGGAGGACTGAACAGGTTGATTAAAAATATCTATATAACAGCTCATAATCTAAGAGCCTCAATCTCAGCAACAACATGTTCACTTAGTCACCCCACAGCCACGTCTCACCCTAGCCCCTTTCTCCATCTCGCTACCAACCAGTGCAAATCTGCTACCAGGCACATTTATTGTGTGGGTTACGGTTTACTGGGAAATCTAGCAATGCTGGTCAAACTCACTTTCCACATCACCAATAAGAGAAAATGAGAGGGATTGACACAGAGCATGTTCAACAACAGGCAGCCACACAAAAGAGCAATTTAACCTGATGGGGTTTTTCTTCGAGGATGTTACTAACAGAATAAAGGGGAGTTGGTGGACTTAGTCATACAGCCACAGAGATATACAACACGGAAATAGACTCTTCCGTCCAACTTGTCCAAGCCAACCAGATTTTCTAAATTAATCTAGTCCCATTTGCCAACATTTGGCCCATTCCCCACTAAACCCTTCCTATTCATACACCCATCCAGATGTCCCTTAAATGTTGTAATTGTATCAGCCTCCACCACTTCCTCTGGCAGCTCATTCCATACTTGCACCACCCTGTGCATGAAAAAGTTGCCGCTTAGGTCCCTTTTAAATCTTTACCCTCTCACCTTAAATCAAGCCCTCTTAGTTTTGGACTCTTGACCACTCACCCTAACTATGTCCCTCGTGATTTTATAAACTTCTTTAAGGTCACCTCTCAGCCTCCAATGGTCCAGGAAAAATAGCCACAGCCTACTTGGCAAACTTGGATTTTGATAAAAGTCCGACAGGAAGTTGCTTGGCAAAATGAAAGAAAATAGTTGTTTGGTAGAACAAAACCTGATTATTGTTGGAAAAAATAGCACATTTTGTTGAAGGTCTTGTCTTGTACTCATGAGGACATTTCGCAAGAATACTAACTTAAGGAGAAATCCAACATATATATTGCATGGGAGAAAAGTGCTGATTGTTTAGCAAATAGACTCTGGATAGGTAGAAATATTGCCATGGAGTATGCACAAATTAATGGTGACTGACAGTTAACTGCCAGGCATTCTTTAAATTTTAAACCAGTGAGATTGACTCTGATCATAACGTTGCCCTGAGAAATGAACCAATGAATAGCAGTCACCAGATATTGATTGTTGACTTGTAACAGAAATCATATTATTGCCATACAGTCAATGCAACTAAGGCTTGCCAGATCTGTTCCTATAATGACAGGTCTGATCCTTGAAAAAGATCTGGATATGAAATCTCTTGAGCTTGAAAGAGGGGTGATCTCATTGAAACTTACAAAGTACTTGAAGGGATAGACAGGGCAGATGCAAGTAAGATTGATGGGTCACAGTCTAAGAATAAGGGGTAAGCCATTCAAGACTGAGATGAGGAAGAATTGTGAACCTGTGGAATTCTCTTCCACAGGAAGCTGTTGGGGCCAGTTCGTTAGATATATTCAAGAGGGAGCTGGACGTGGCCAATGCGGCTAAAGAGATCAAGGGATATGGAGCGAAAGCAGGAATGGGATGCTGAGATTGCTTGATCAGCCATGATCATATTGAATGGTGAGCAGGCTCAGAGGGCCGAATGGCCTCATCTTGCACCTATTTTCTATGTTTCTACAATGTTTTCCCTGATTAGGGAGGCTAGGCCAGGGAAAATGTCAAAATAAGGGGGAAGCATTTAACACAGATACGGATTTCTTTTTATTTTACTCAGAGCATTGCAAATCTTTGAAATTCTCTGCCCTAGAGGGCTCTAGAACCTCAGTCAATGTGTCAGTCATTTATTTATATTAGAAACTGTTTTCTAAATACCAATGATGGGATGGTCAGCCACAATCATACTTAATGATGGAATGACGGGAACAGGAATAAGCAATTCAGCCTATGATTTAGACAGCAAGAGAAAAAGGGGGCACAAGGGCGAGCGAAGGAGTGAGGGCAAGGGCGAGAGACAGTGAGAGTGAGAGCGAGAGCATGCGTGCGCATGACAGCGCGAGAGCACGAGCACGAGAGGGCGAGAGCACGCAAGAGAGACAGCAAGAGCATGAGCCAGAGAGCAAAAGAGCAACTAGGAATGCAAAAGGAAAGTTGTGAATGAAAAACTGTGTGACAGAAGAGTGCAGAGAGAAAAGAAAGACTAAGACATTGAATATATTTCCTAATATATAAGGATTGGATTTGAACTCTGCTCCTACAACAGCAATTGCATAGATATTCCTCATTTGTCATTAGCCTGACATTGACACCTCAGCTGAAAGATAGCACACCTTAAATAGAGCAGAACTCCATGAGTTTTGCTCTGAAATTTTCACATAGATAACATGCTCATATTTGGCATGGGACTTGAACCCACAACCTGTTGAGTTAGGAGTGGTACCCACTGAGCCAAAGTAACAGTCACAGACAATGACCAGATGATGAGCGGCATTCTTCATTTTGTAAACATAGTGGTAACGTCCGTGAATGAATACAAAATTCATATTCTGGTGTTTTAAAATGCTCCCACCTCCTCTAAGTGAATTCTCTCCCCCAAAGCTTTCAGATTTCAGTGACACAGGTCATATACTTACTCCATGTTTGACTGTTTTGGCAGCATGGGCAGCTTTCTTCTTTGCATCATAGTGAGTTAAAATGTCGATTATTGCCATAAAGAAAACTTCTTTCCTTGGCGCATCTGGAAAATCAGCCAGTATTACTGACATTAGAGAACAAGACTATTACAATGCAGTTATGATACCAGTACTAGAATACAAAATGTTTCTTCTAGCAGTTTTGTACACAGAACTTTGCCCAATTATATACAAAGATCTTCAGAACGCATGCAATTTCAAAGACCCTGGTGGGGAGCAGTGAGAAATGGAACTGAACAGCTAGTATGTTGCAGAATATTTCAGGCGCTGACTTAAACATAATTTCTGCAGCAATGGTCAATTAGAGTTTCCAGTCATCACCATGACAATTGTGCCTGCCTCATCAGTAATTACACTGGTTAGGATAATGAAATGCTGACAATGTCACAGTCAAGCCAATAAGCCCGTGGCTTGTAAAATTTAAAATAAAACCAACTTGCATATTGTACTTCATGTCAAGAACTTCAATTGTAACATCACCCTCATTACCTAACTCTCTGTAACGTCAAAATAAATTGCAGGTAGCCTACTTCCAGTTGGTCATCTGATCTAAATGTTAAAAACATAAGAAACAGAACCAGGAGTAGGTCATCCAGCCCTTCAAGCCTTTACTGCCATTCTCTAAGATCAGGCTTTTCAGCCCCAGGCCTCACCTACTCTTCTTTTGTGCCAGCTCTTCATTGCCCTAAATTACTAGATATTTCAAACATCTGTCTAGTTCCTCTTAAAACATCTTCAGTGATCTAGCTCCACAACTTTCTGAAGCAGAGAACTCCAGACATTCTTAGAGAATAAATTATTTTGCATCTCAATTTTAAATTAGTGTCCCGCTTTATTCTGCAACTAATTTCCCGAGTTCAAGATTCTCTCATTGGTGGAAACATCTTCTGAACATCTGCCAAGTCCAGCCCTCTTACAATCTTAAATGTTTAAGAGCATTATGAGATCTATGCACTTTCTGGATAACTAGATAAATGATTCTCTAACTTCATTGCTTTCAAGTGCCTTTTTCAAACAGGTTAGTAATCACAAACCCACAACACCCTCCATCCAACAGACAGCATTATATACTCATCTTGGAACAAAGGAGTTTGAGGGCAGAGGTGATCAGGGTGTCCAAGATTATGATAGGTTTGGTTAAAGTAGATAATGAAAAGATGTTCCCATTAGTTGATAGCACAAGGTCAGAAGTCACATGATACCAGGGGTTATGGTCCTACAGGTTTATTTGAAATGACAAGCTTTCAGAGCACTGTTCCTTCACCCGACGAAAGAGCAGGGTTCTGAAAGCATGCGATTTCAAAAAAACCTGTCAGACTGTAACCTGGTGTTGTTTGACTTCTGACTTCGGCTACCCCAGTCCAACACTGGTACCTCCACATCATTGGTAGTACAAGGATTAGTGGGGTATGAATTGAACATTTTGAGAAGTGCTGTGGACGAGGAAGAAGAATTGGGATGGGACATGAGGAAGAATTCTTAAACTTTTTTCATGCAGTAAATTATATGGCCAGTAAATGGGCAGCACGCTGGTTCAGTGGTTAGCACTGCTGCCTCACAGCAACAAAGAACCAGGTTCAATTCCAGCCTTGGCCGACTGTCTGTGTGGAGTTTGCACATTCTCCCTGTGACTGCGTGGGTTTCTCCGGGTGCTCTGGTTTCCTCCCACAGTCCAAAGATGTGCAGGCCATGTGTATTAGCCATGGGAAATACAGGGATAGGGTTGAGGGAGGATGCTTTGTTACAGTGCAGGCTTGATGGGCTGAATGACTTCTTTCTGCACTACTATGACTCAATGATCTGGAACTCTATAATGGTTTCAAAAGGAAATCAATGGATGCTTTGAGGGAATTAAACTTGCAGTGTTACAGGGATAGAGTGGGAATATGGGATTGGCTAGCTTTATCTATCAAGTGCTGGCACACGCTTAATGGGCTGAATGGCTTCCTACTGTGCCATTCTTACTATGATGAGGAAACTAGTACGCTGCCAACTGAGTCAAGATGTGAGCACAGTAAGACAGGACTATCAAACAATGCCTGCATTTTTTAAACCACTTATTCATTTTACATTAGTACAACAAAAGACCTTTAACACTTAAGGGAGGTACTTAATTTGTAAGTTGACCTTTTTTAAACAAAACATACATTTAAATATATCCAATTCCTTTACAACTTTAAAATACAATGTAAGACCACCTAGTTGCAGTGATAATCAAACGGTAGATAAATATTTCAGATGTAAAACACATATTGGAGAGCTATATATTTTTACAACTACAACATCTCCGAAAGGTCACACCCCTCCCCCCACAACCCTTATAGGCAGGTTGATCCATGTGTTTCTCTGAACTTCCCTTAGTTTCCAAATAGCTTTATTTAATTTAGACCCAATCTTTTCAAACAGGAACAACATACTGGGCATCTGGCTTACAGATGTTCAAAGTAAAATTACTAATTTTACTTAATTTTAACCAATCATGTTATTTGTCCAGTTGTTAATGACTCCCAAATGAGCTAATTTTCAACAGGCTCGGCATCTCCATTAGTAACTGCAGAATAGTCAAGTCCACCTGCTACCCTTAATGTTTTTTTAATTACCAGGCCATGCAGTGCACTTGCATTTTTCACAGCATGTTTCTGGTGCTCATATTAAAAACATTTTGTTCTGGAGATTTGGGCCTTTTTGTTTTTTGAAGCAACTGATTTTAAATGTAAGTGGCTCATTTAGCAGGCATTCAGAATCAGCAACATGGCTCATACTTAAGACAGATTTGGAGGGGGCTCCAACTGGAAGGACTTTAGTTACACAGTCAGCAATCCAATTGCTGTTGCTGACATTTTACCAGAATACATTGAGATTTATTTCATGATCTGTTGTTTTTGAATTCCAAATTGCCAATCCAATACCTTAACCAACTGCACTGTCATTGTCCTTTTATATTCTTAGTGAAATATCATTGACCACTGCCTGCAAATAAGGATGGCCATTCAACCCACTTTAATTCATTCACAAACATCCCGAAGTTCCTCTGATTGTAGCATTCAATCATTTGTTAAGTATTCCAATGCCTATCAGCTTAATTCACCTGACAATATCATCCGACTTGCTGCTGTCTCAGCTAATCAGCTGCTGAAACCTTCATCTATGCATTTGTTATCTCCAGACTTGATTATTCCAATGCAAGTCTGGGTTTGTCTACCACATTTTACCCTCTGCAAATTGGGGGTCATTCAAAAATCTGTCACCTGTTTCAGTATTCAAACCAGCCCTGTCCTCATTCAGCTACAGTGGCTCCCAGTCAAGTAACACCTCAATTTAAAAATTCTCATCCTTATTTACAAATCCCTTCATGGTTGCTCTGTTCCCTATCTCCTGCAACCCCACAGCTCTCGGAGGTGTTGCTGCTGATTCTAACCCCTTGAGAATCGCTGATCTGAAATACTGCACCACTGGTGGCAATGCTTTCAACTGCCTGGCCCAAAGCTCTAGAATTCCGGCCCCAAAGCTCTCCATTCACATTCTTCCCTTAAGATCTTTCTGAAAGCCCAATATTGTCTGATGTGGCTCAGTGTATATTTTTTCTTAATTATGCCCCTTTGAAGCATCTTGGGATAGTTTGTGATGTTAAAGTCGCTATGTAAATATTGGGTTGGTGTTCATTTCACAATAAACTCTAAATTAATTAGTAAGACAACTGCCTCCAGCAAATTTTACTTCTTATGATTGTGCCGAAATACATAGTTTGTCCAATTGTTCCTCTTTAAATCATTTACAAGTATATCGGTACAAAAACAGAAATTGCTGCAAAAGCTCAGCAGGTCTGGCAGCATCTGTGGACAGAAATCAGAGTTAATGTTTCGGGTCGGGTGACGCTTCCTCAGAACTCACTGAGCTTTTCCAGCAATTTCTGTTTTTGAATCGGATTTACAGCATCTTTCGGTTTTTACAAGCATACAGGTGCTTTGGTGCCAATAGCAACAATGCAATGCTCAACTGCTATGATCACTGCTGACCTTGTCATTTAGTTTAAGCCAAGTGTTGGCAGTTCACATTGAGAGGGGATACTGTTTCTGCAATATAAATAACTAACTGTCAGCAAGCCTCATTTGCTGTTTAATTCGGAATATTAGGAGTGACTGTTACACAAACCAAGATCCCGTAAACAGCATTGCGATGAATGATCAATTGAACTTTTTTTGGGTAGTGTGGGTTGAAGAGGAATATGACGATTGAGAGAACTGTCTGTCCTTATTTGAATTTTGCGTGAGGAGCCTTTCACAAACACTGAAAGTGGGCAGGTAGGAGACAACAAGGAGGGTAGCACTGTACTGGAACAGTGACCAGATGGAATGATTTAAAACAAAACTCACATCAAACCCATGAATAATGGTTATAGTATTTAAAATTAGATCCAAGAAAATATACAGGAACTGAAATTTGAAATTAATGAAGAAAACACAAACTGACCACTGGGATCTGCAAACAAATCATATTGTAATGGTTGCCTTTACTCCACCAAACTATCTCAGTTAAAACTTTAACGCACATTTCTTTCCAGCTCCCTTATGCCCCTCAGCTCTATGCAACTCTATTCTGACAATAATTTAAACTGCAAATCTTTGTGAAATGTTAAAAATGGTCAGAACAAATCTACACAACCTCTCGTCAGGAAACAAGATATAAATCAAGTGCCACCTTGATCAGCTTCCTTCTCCACAAGTCCCACCTACTTTGCACTCCCCATCACCCCGCACAAACACCTACAAACCCAGTCTCCATCACATGCAGCAACAGACTCGAAAACAGGAGACGTACAGCATTTGAAATCATCAATTCTCAGGCCTCCAGCACCAAACATCAAACAAATCTTGCCACCATCTCTGACCTGACATCCCACAGTGACTGATGTTACAGTATAGGAAAAAAGACCAAGATAAACAGTATTTCCCATTAGTTCTGACAGTGCACATCATCTTGCTTGCCAATTGTAACAAACTCATGTAAAAGTCAATGAAAACAAATGTACAGCTGGAAGCAATAAGCTTCAATTAACACTTACACCATACACTGCTGAGCTGTGGTACCAGAAACGTGTAAAATACTAAATAATCAAAGCTGGGATAAGGTGCTGTATACACAGCCACCTCATTCTTAATCAGATCTCACCTCGTATAAGAACAGATTACATTTAGAAACCAACTTTAACATGGTAAGCTTCCCAAGGTACTTTATAGAATTTGATCAAATAAAATACAACATTGAGCAATTTATGATGATATTAGGACAGGTGACCAAAAGCTTGGTCTTGTTTGGAGGGGTAGGATTTAATAAATGCCTTAAAGGGAGAAGAGAGAGCTTTGAGAGGATTACGGAAGGGATTGCAGATCTGCAGGATTATATTGAAAACCAGGCAGCTTATTTCAGACCAATGTAAATTCTGAGGTAGAAACAAAACAATAGTGTTTTTTGTATAATTTTAAGTGAACACAGAAAAAGGCAACATAGAAAAGAACAAGGTAACTCAGTTGCTTTTATATTGAATGTAACCAGTGCTAGTTTCACCAGCTCTCAACACAAATTTTGCACAGTCAGGAAATGAACATGCCACATTGGTTAGTGCTGGCTGCCAGGAAGGCTCAGAAAAAAAAAAAAAACAGGACTTTGGGCTTGCTGGACAACGTGAATTTAATAATTTTATTTTGGGGCTGTGCATAACCTTGGTAGTTGCAAACTAAGTTTTCAAGGTAAAATCTGCATCGGTGAAAAAAGCATTTTAAAAGAGAACAAATTTACAGAATCTCTCTCGTCACAGTGCAAGATAGAAGGAACACCCACTGTCTGTAAATGAAGTGCCACCTTAATCAGCTTCTTACCTACCAGCCCCCCAACCCAGCTTGCACTCCTTATCCCCCAACACGTACAAACCCAGTCTCCATCACATGCAGCAACAGACTCTAAAACAGGAGGAGATAGACAGCATCAATTCTCAGGCCGTCAGCACCAAGTATCAAACAAATCTTGCCACCATCTTTGGCCTGACATCGCACAGTGGCTGATGTAACAGTAAAGGAAAACAGACACGAATTAAAAGAGGATTTCTGGAAAACCTGACCTTTGAATATAGAGCTTGCTACTTCATGGAATAGTTAACGTGAATCACCGCTGCAGAAGAAGCTGGATGAACACACGAGAAAGGATGGAATAGCACAATATGTTGATAGGGTGAGATGGAGGTGCAATAATAAGAGGCTCAGGTAGACCATAAATGCCAGTGAGTTGAAGGCAAATTCTAGATGTCAGGAAGAACTTAACTATTTACATTGATCTTTGTTGTGTAACTCAAAAAAAACTCCAAGACACAATGCAAAAGATAAAAATAACATCAGAGAGCTAGCAATGCAATTCATAGACATGGACAAATAGGGGTGGGCTGTATTAATTCTGGTAAAAGGGAACCTGCTTGTTGGTTGGAGAGCTGATGGAAGCCCCGCATTACCTCCTTTGGGAAAGGCATGTTGGTATGGGGAGTCTCTCAGGCATTTTCCCATGATCTGATATCACTGGACTGGATTCCCTACCCTTAGGACACAGTGAGTATGGGATTCAGGTCTGAGGGAGAGCGAGGAGTGTCAGCAGCAAGGGCATGTGTGTGGTTCTCGCCATCCCCCATATCTTGATGCTGGGTCTCTGGTTCAGGCACCAAGTGCGTGTCAATGGGGGATTCCCTTCAGACTTTGTACATCCCAAGCAAGTATAACAGGGTCAGCTGTTCAGCTGTTTGGATGGTGACTGTCTGCCTACCACAGTGCGAACAGGGTGGGATGGAGACTTTAGGTTATTTGCATTAATTGCTGATCTTGAGGACATCAGCTAACAGCTGGGTAGGAAAGCCATCCAGACATAATCTGAGGAGAGGCACAAATGTAGTGAGACATCTACTCATCATCCTCCTTCCTGATTAAATACCACCCCCGCCCTGTGTGACAGCATTTAATTCCACCCAGGGAGCTTGAAAGATGAGGAGAGAGGAAATGAAGTGAACAACTTTAGGATGTAGCACCTAAGCCATAGGTTAAAGGTTTGGGAATAAGGCACTTTACTGGTGCAAAATAGAGGATGCATTACTTTACAGTTAGCCTTTTCTTTATTTTAGTCATGGACATGGACATGGACATGGACATTTCCAGCAAGGCCAGTATTCATTGTCCACCCAAAATGGCTCGAGAAACTCAAGGGGAGCCACCTCCTTGAACCGCTGCACTCTGTGGTGAATGTGCACCCACAGTGCCCTGTTTTACCTGATCGGAGATTGCTTAGTGGTAATTAGAAACAACAAAATGAATTAATCCTTTTCCAGCAACAACTTTCCTTTCTTTTCGATACTCCACAATCCCACAAAAAAACTTTTAAAATGCTGGACTATGAACTGAGAATAAATAATCATTTCTGTATATTTTCCCAGTAATAATTTCTTTTTTGGTAACACACAGAAACACTAAATCAAAGACGAGCAGGGAAATTATATTTAATCATTATACATTCTTGGAATATGACAGACATTGGCAAAGTCTCATTAAAAGCCGTTAAATTGTGACAGTGAGCCTTTTCCTACAAAACTATTTGGTGGTGCTGTTCCCACTCCATGTATCCCTGAAGAGGTCAACATTTACCTGCCTCCTCATGGGAGGTCCTGGGTTGCGACCAGATTGGAGAAGGTACATTCGGGAAAGTAACAAATATGAATGGGAATGTGCAGAGGAGAAATCCAAGTATTGGATTGTATGGAGAGCATAACCCTCCAGATGACCAGTTTACCTTTAATCACCAACTATGCCAAATTGGACTTATGAGCCTTACCAGACCCTATTGATCCTGGGTGAAAGCAAGTCACCTTTGATCCTAAGGGACTGTCCAAGCCGAAGAAGGTGTATTTACAATGGTAAGAAAGCAAAATACTGCAGATGCTGGAAATCTCAAATAAAAAGACAGAATGCTGGAGAAACTCAGCGGATCTAGCAGCATCTGCAGAGAGAGAAACAGAGTTATTGTTTCGAGTCAGATAGGACTCGGCTTCAGTTCTGAACAGCAACTGGATTGGACTTGAACCATTGACTGTTTCTTTCTGCACAGATGCTCCCACAATACCGTTAGGTATCAAAAGCTTTAAACTAAAGTACCTTTTTAAAACGAAATGTTAACAATCTGCTTACTGTCATGGCTCTTTATAGCATATACATCAACAGTTGGATCAAACTCTCCTGGTCCAAAAATTCGTGGGAAATTCAGCATGTTTCCAGGACTGTCTGGTGGAGTTCCATACGAGCCAACTGGATGACCCATTCCATCATTTTCACAATCTTCTTCATCACCTTTCTCCTCCACCTCCATTTCTTCTTGCTCAGCACGATCCACATCATGGATGCCAACTAATAAACTGTAATCCATGATCTTCAGCTGTGCTAAAAACTGTTAAAAGGAACCAATTAAACAAAGTTAGATTGGTTGAGTACCTGGTCAAAGCTATCACTCTGGCAATACAATATGACTGCTCATAAAGGCCGAGAGGTATCTGAACCTATTTATCAATTTACAATGAAAAATGAATACGCCATGAAAACTCTATATGCTAAAGAATAACATTGCAAAGCGGACACACTTGCAAGTACATTCTTTATATAGCAAACTGCACCACCCACAGTAAGATTCAACAGTGGATCAGTGGAGCTTGCTTCTAAGTGAAAGCAAATTTTCTGGGGCCCATCAAAGTTCATGTCGAGAATACTTAGAGTGTTCGGACTTTCGTGAATACTGACAGGTCTTCCTTTAGGTGATAGCTCTTTCACAGATGGCTATAGAGAAGCAGCTGACGTCACAGGCACAGACCGTAGTGCACCACGAAAGCAACATTGGTGCACGTTAAGTAGCAGTTTCATTAATGCTGATTGCAGAGGAAGGCCACTGTGGAGAACGTTTCCAAAAATTAATTCATGGCACGTGAGTTTTTCTGACTAGGCCAGCATTTATTGCCCGTCCCTAATTGCTCAAGGGGCTGGTGAGCTGTCTTTGAACTGATGCAGTCCATTTCGTGTAGGTACACCCACAATGTTTACAGGGACAGAGTTGTGGGATTTTGACACAGCAATACTGAAGGATCAGTGACATATTTCCAAATTAGGATGGTGAATGGCTTGGAGGGGACCTTACAGGTGATGTTGTTCCCACATATCTGCCATCCTTCAAGATCAAAGTGGTTGTCAATTTAGAAATACTATGTATGGAGCCTTGGTGAACTTCTGTTGTGCATCTTGTAAACGGTACATACTGGTACAACTGGGCATTGGTGGTGGAGGAAGTAAATGTTTGTGGATATGGTACCAATCAAGCAGGGATGCTTTGTCCTGGATGGTGTCAAGCTTCTCGAATGCTGTTGGAGCTACACTCATCCAGGCAAGTGGGCAGTTTTCCATCACACTCCTGATTTGTACCTTGTAGGTGATGGACAGGCTGTGGGGAATTAGGAGGTAAGTTACCATTGCAGAATTCCTCGCCTCTCACCTGCTTTTGTAGCCACAGTATTCGAATGGTTAGACCAGTTTGGTTTCTGGTCAACGGTAACTCCCAAGCTGTTGATAGTGGGAGATTCAGCGATGGTAATGCCATTGAATGCCAAAGGAGCATTCAGATAAAGCTGCTGTGGCTTTGCAATGAGACAGCCCAAGTTTCTTTTGTGTAAGGCTGCTAAATCCCAAAATACGAACTAGTACATGAACAATATGTTTGCAAATATCAGAGTTTATGGTTAGAAACACAGGGATGTTTTAACGAGAGGATGTCAAGCAGCCTTTAAATTCCGTTTTGCCAATCAATTAAATCCAGGCTGATGTCTATGTTAACTCCAACTCACTTTGGAGGGATGGTGACACTGAAGCGTGCAGTAAAGGTTAGGTGACAATTTCTGAGACTCAAAAACCCAATCAGGGGACAAGTAATCAACCTGCAAAGGAGGCAAACACATTGTTCAATGTCAAGTCTGTGTATGACCAAACACACATTCATACGATTCATCGTGGATGCACTGCACTTTCTCAGTGGCCTCAGATTTTCTAGAAGTAAAGTGCAACAACAAATACTGACCTCAACATCACGCTTGAGTTTGTCCAAAAACATCTTTTTGTTTTCATCTCCAATTTGAATTCTCTGCCCTTCATTTAGGAAATCATTGTCTTTCAGTGTTGGTAATTCCTTGGCCTGCAGCAAAACAAGACAGATCACAATCAGATATAAAACACTGTACATGATGGACTACACATTGGAATTAATTCTATTTTTAAAAAAAAAAACTTGTTTGTGACATGTCAAGGTTACTCTTGCCAATTGCCTTGAATGTACACAGATCTTCTAATGAATTTTTTCCCCCCCAAGTACGAGGCTTGTTGCACCACTTCAGTTAGAGACAGCAATCTAGTTGGTTTCATTTAATACAAAGATAACTGATTTTCTAAAACCCTTAAATAATGGGAATTTTCTATTGTATTGATCTGTGGGGGTAGCAACATTTTGTTTTCTGGAGTGCATTGCAGAACAAGTAACATTTCTTTTTTGCAAAATATGACAGTCTGCTAGTTTAAGATCTTTACGCATGTATTCTAAAGCCTGTAGCATCTGAAGTGTGACAAAATGTTGTTAGACACAAGATGACTACATTTGCAATTTTATATAGCACCAATAAATCATTAACGCATTCCAAGAACTATCAAACAAAATTTAACACCAGCTCGTAGAAAAGGTATTAGGACAGGTGACCTAAAGTTTGGTAGGTTTTAACAAGTGTCTTGAAGGAGAAATGGGTGGAGATATGGAGAGAGGGGATTTTATAGTTTAGAGCACAAGCTGCTTAAAGCACGGCAATGAATGGTGAAGTGATTAATGTTAGGGATTTGCAAATAATGTGACACATTATAAGGTATTTCCATCTGAAGAAACATATTTTCTATGGTGTGGACCCGGAATCGTGAAAAAGTTTTGTAAACCTCCATAATCATGATGGACCCCTCATTCGAGTGCTTATTTTATCAAAACAATGAAACATGCTTGGAATGATAGAATTACAAAGTGCAGAAGAGGCCCTTCATTCTATCAAGTCTGTATTGCCAAAAATACACCATTACCTGTACGAGTCCCACTTTCCAATAGCCTTGAATGTTACTTTTGTTTAGCTCCACGTGTTCTCCAGATAGCCATGAGCACATCTTAAGAGTTTGAATCCCAAAAATTCAATATCGACAAACTTGAGCAATGGAGGTCACCACAACAGACATGAGTTCAATGGGCACCTACTCAGCAAGAGTAACGCATACAACCAAAATTCTGTACCACATCAATCGCATAGGAAATGACAGTAGAAATCTGAGTCACATACCCAGATATAGTTACACAGATACCACTTGAAATAGCTTGACTAAATCATTATGCTTTTTTCAGTTGGATACTTATCCACCAATCTCAATTCTATCTGCATCTTCAAAATTCAGAAAGGTTCTCCCACTTTCTAGTCAGGGGCATCAAGGCCAACTTTATCACGCCTGTAAGCAACCTTAATGTGAAGCTGCCACATCAGCGCAAGGCAAAGACTGAACTTAAAATGATTCTCATGATCATTGATAACTCAAACTGAGCCCTGTGAGTTTTTTTCTTTAAATACTACCCACATTTACAGTCAAATCTTTCCACACAAGCACGAATATACAATGTGGGGATGTCAACTGACTTTGGCTCTTTAATTCACTTGTTGAAAATGACAGAAATTCTGGTGTAACAAATAAAAATTCCTTATTATTCTTCATTTTCGAAAGCCAATGGCTTGCACAATGGTGATAAACCCAGTATTAAACAATGTCTGCCACACTGTTGCAGAGGAAGATAGTGAGCCAAATTGGTACATGATTTGCTGGCTGTTTTTACCAGACTCTTCTCAGAATTTATAGAACATAAAACAGTAGAGCACAGTACAGGGCCTTCGGCCCACTATGTGGTGCCGACCTATTATCCTACTAAGATCAAACTACCCTGCATTACCCTACATTATACTATCATCCATGTGCCTATCCAAGAGTTGCTTAAAAGTCTCTAAAAGTATCTGACTCCACTACCACTGCCAACAGCGCATTCCACACGCCCACCACTCTCTGTGTAAAGAACCTACCTCTGATATCTTCCCTACACCTTCCTCCAATCACCTTAAAATTCTGCTCCCTCACAATAGTCATTTCCGCCCTGGGAAAAAGTCTCTGGCTATCCACTCTGTGCCTCTCATCATCTTGAACTCCTCTATCAAGTCACCTCTCATCCTTTTTCGCTCCAATGAGAAAAGCCCTAGTTCCCTCAACCTTTCCTCATAAGACCTGCCCTCCAGTCCAGGTAAATCTCCTCTGCACCCTCTCTAAAGCTTCCACATCTTTCCCATAATGAGGCGACCAGAACTAAACACAATATTCCAAGTGTGGTTTAACCAGGGTTTTATACAGCTGCAGCATAACCTCACTGCTCTTAAACTCAATTCCCCTGCCAATGAAAGCCAACACACCATACACATTCTTTACAACCCTATCAACTTGGGTAGCAACGTTGAGGGATCTATGGATGTGGACCTCAAGATCCCTCTGTTCCTCCACACTGCCAAGAATCCTGCCATTAACCCTGTATTCTGCATTTAAATTCAACCTTCTGCTTGCTTCTTCCGATGCCCTAGCAGTCAGCTCCAGAGATCATGGCCATCAGCAACGATTTTCCAGTTGACAGCGACAGGTTCACCACCTTCATATCTCACTACTGTCCTTGTCGCACAGGGGTAGATGCCCAGGCAGTCATGGCCCAGCCGCCAGTTCACCAGACAGGAGATCTTCGAGTATGTGGTTGTCATCCATCTGATAAACATTGCCCATCCTGCACAAACATTGTTTTTATGTTTCAAATATAAAATCTATACATCTTACTAAGCTGTTTCAGAATATTTCCAACTGAAGAAGACACCTTTCATCACAGCACAATCTGAATTTACCTTATGCAATGGAAAAGGCACACATTTCCCATCAGCACCCTAAATTATTACATTTTGATTCAACAAACGTTGTGAAGAAAAGTCCCAATCCTTTGTTAATGTCAAACTCTGAACTTTACCAGTATGTTTCAGGATAACAAACTTGTTAGGTTCTTTCTCAAAACTTCTGGGACTTTCTCTTCAATTTTATGGCATTCATTCCCACTGTAAAAATATTAGATGCAATGAGGTTCAGAGCGAATTTTACTTTACATATTGAAAATCAAAATGGCTTTGTCAGTTATGACAACTTATTTGGAGAGGGCAGATCTATCCCCAAGTGGTTTGCAGGAATCTCCACATTCTGGTGCTTCTTTCCCTGCCGAAGTTCCTGTTGTATGCGCCAGTGCTATTTGTTTAATATCCATTTCGTTTACTTATACCGTATTTTCTGAAGACTTCTTCAGTGTGCCAATTATTCCCACCAGTTTACCACTCTACTTCCAACAATTTGCTTTTGTGTGGCCCACATCATGGCAATGAAAACATATTGGTTTCTCTACATTACTCTGATTCTGTGCATTATACAACTGATTAACTGGAACAGTTTCTGCCTTCTCTCAAAAACCAGATTCTTGCTCCACCTACCCTATTGGTTTCCATATGACAAAGTTTGAATATTTATTTGGGTGTCAGTGAGAAATATCATATGCATCTCCCACTGCAGCTGCCTCTTTGACCTTAGCCACCTGACATTCATCCAAATAAGAATCTTACTTGTTAATGGAATAATATTCTTGAATTCTTCTGCAGTAAAGAAATCCTTTGCATTTTCAAAGGTTTGCTCAAATTATTTAAATTAATTTCCTCCAACAAATGACACCAGGGATCCCGTCATGTTTACTTTCCCCCAGAAAAGTCAATAAATATTTGACCGGGTTTTGCCTTTAATTTCTAAATCTTAATTGGCAAGCTTGAGGAACAAACTAATAAGAGATAACTGCTACAATTCTAACTGTCTCACAATTTGTGGATAGCTGTTCTAAAGAAACTAGGATACACAAAACACTTGTAGCTTATCGATGACATCTTTGGGCACTCAAATTCTTTCACAAATGGGAGAAAATATCTCTGTACTGCTCCTCATTATGAACAAGAGAAAGATTTTTGGTTAAATCTAACTTCTAATTGGATCTTCCTTCCTCATTCAAACTACTATACTCTCCTGATGCCCAAAATCTAAGCTTCTCTTTACCCAGGTCATTTCTTTCTCTGATTTCTTTCTCTCTCTGAAGCTTTAATTCAAACATTTTCCTCTTTTTCTATCTCAAGCTGCTTCATCAGTGACAGAATTCTAGCTAACCCAAGCTGCATTCCATCTGGCTTGGTTGCCTCTTCTTCCAACACCAGATGCTATTCTATGACCTCGAGTGAATCCGTCTACTTAGCTTTTAGCTTTAATTAAAACTTCAACTTTTCTACTAATGCTATTACCTGGTGAATATTTGCCAATTATTCAGGAACTGATCTTCCTTATTCAAAAAAAAAAGTCATAGCCACTGTGAGACCATACGATGTAGCATCAGAAGTAATCCATTTAGCCCACTGACTCTGCACCTCCATTCAATGAGATCATGGTTGATTTAATAATCCTCAATTCCACTTTCCTGCCTTTTGCCCATAATCTTTGATTCCCTTACCAATTAAAATCTGTTTATCTCAGCCCTGAATAGTCTTAACAACTCATTTTCAACCCATTTGTGAGGTTGAGTTCCAGATTCACTATTCTCAGAGAAGAAATTCCTCATCTCTATCTTAAATGGGCAACAGGCCCAAACCAGTCAACCTCTCCTCATAAGACAGTCCCTCCT